CAGGCTTCACTTTACAGTATGGTGGCAATTTTAGAATGGATTAGTGCTTTTAGCTATTATTAGACACATTCAAAGTAATTATATATAAAATCATGTACTTTGAGTGAAAGATTTTGGCACATCAACGTAAGTAATTTGTCCAAAGTAATATGGTAGAAGTGTAATTTAATTCTGAGTGGGCTGAAGAGCATATACATACTACCCTCCGATAGTAGACATCAGCTTCGTCAAGTCGTCTTCTTTGTTTCATACACATTCGCCGCGCTCTCGCCCTCGCCGGAGCCCGCTCCCGCCGCTGCCGACACCCGCGAGCGAAGTGCGAGCGCGCGTACCTGCCCCGCGACTACTGACACTTGACGCCCGCCTCTATTTCACCAACTCCGGGTGGGCGGGGCCCTCTCGCCTGATTGGCAGCGCCCCCGCGAATCCCGACGTCCCGGGGCCGGCGGGGCCGGAGCGGCCAGCCTATGAGAAGGGAGAGGGTCACCCAGGGCCCCGCCTCCGCCGGGCCGACCGCGCCCCTCCCGGGCCACGAGCTTCGCGCGCAGGGCGGCCGCGCAGTTTGTACACAACTTCTCTGACAGATTGGGCTGGCGGAGCCGGGGGCGGAGGGAAGGAGCGGACGGGTGGAATCTAGGAAGAGGGGGAATTAGGGTGGAGACGCGGAGGGAGACTTCTTCGGACTGTTCTCTGCCAGGATTAGGGAGAAAAAGAGTATTGCACGTCTTAGGTGTTGTGCAAGGACCTGAAACTCGAAAGCTGAAACCCACAAGGCAGCTAGGTGGGGGCGCCAAGGCTTTGGAGCCTTGTTTGATGAGTGTGTGCTTTTAAACACACAAAATGTACTTTTCTTTAGTAGCAAACTAGGGGCGGTGTGATAAACACATTTTAAACAGCTCTTGTCTCTATGTATCTTTAGCAGTGAACGTATCCATTTAGCAAAGCAAATTCGGAATGTCCTGAATAAAAGGTTTTTTATTAAGTCCTTGCATAAAAGCCTATTTTTTCCCCTTCAGTATTTAAATAGCTAGAAGTTTTCTCACGCGTTTCTACCTCTTCGTATCCGTGCTTGGAGAGGAGGGGGAGGGGCCACCTGAATTTTGAAGTTTTTAATATTTAAACCATGTTGATTCTAGCCAAAGCATGGAATCTAATTTAAGCACGACTAGCTCAAATGTGTATTTAAATAGACATTACATCTTTGACTTATTTTTGCTAGCACTGTATGTTCAAAAAAATGGACTTTAATACTCACGAAACAGAAACAGCACATTTACCTAACACCATGGCACCTTTTCCTACGAAAAGACAACCAAAGCAGCCTCAAACATGAGACACGCAGCATCTCTGAAAACTGGGAATCCAAATTTATAAGAAAGTAATAGCCAAATATATTACTGTCCATTTACTATGTTATTACAATGGGAGGAGGCATTTTTGTGAGCAGTCACCTAAGGAAACCATTTCCCTTAATCTTTAATGTTCTTGTACATGATTTTATCTGGCTTATTGGGAGGTCAGAACAATAAACTGCAATAAAAATGCCGGTAATATTACTACATATGTACATATGTTGACAGCACGATCTACCATAAGACAGTTTTACATATACTCGTCACTTTTTGGTAAAACAGCTTTAAAAAAGAGTTCTTAGAAAAAGCGTTCATTTCAAATTGTATATCTATCAGAGGCATGGAATTCATGTTCACTATGTAAAAAAAATTAATAAAGCATGTAAAGTGTTAGATGTATTTACTTATTATAAAAGATAAAATTATTTGGAAGCTAGATTTTTCTCCTTGTTCTTCCCTTCCTGTTAATACGATTCATTTTTATAGCTGTGATCACTGCCTTCAGACAATGGCTGATGACAACTTTCATGTTACCAAAGTATTATTTAATAAGTGCTTTTGCAAATTTTTTCCTAACCAATCCCATGCTGTCAACCTTCATCTTTAGAAAAAATTGTCCTGCTTTTCTCTAATAGCAACCCCCAATCGTGTAATTAATTCGATTAGAAACATTATGGAATTGGTATGAGATTTAATGTAATTTCTAAAAAAAATTGAACTTGGAAAGATTTTCAGTTACATGATGCTAAAAACATCGAACCTGAATGTGACATAGAGAATTCTTACTAGAAATTTTACCCTCTTAACTGTAAAGTAAATCTAACTTAGATTTAATACAGTTTGGTAATTGTATTTTAACGTATTTTTAAACCTATCTAGACTTTTCCTTTTCTCTTTCTCAACCTAAGTTTTCATTTCAGTAAAATTCATGTATTTTATTGGAAATGCTTCTGCAATTTCACACAGTTTTTAATATGCTTTCATTTGTAGCTTTCCCACTGCAAACAAAACAACCCCATACAGCTATTTCAGAAGTTTGTAATATTTGTATAGTCTTGTTAATCTCTTTATATTTCTACTTTTCTTAATGAATATAGATAAGAATCTAGCTATGTTGGGCTTGCATAGCTAATGAATTTACAATAAAAAATTGAATATGTTATTTTTTGCTCTAATACAGTAACATGTATTTAAATTTCATTTCTGCCATAAAGAATCATGAAATAGGGCTGCCACTTTTAAGTAATGGTTTCTCTGAAATTTCAGCCTAGCTCTGCAATCTCA